TTAAACCTGTTGGATAATGGGATCACGTCTTTCATATACGTTTCGACTTCGGAGGTGAGCGATTTGAGACCCTCCTCCCCGTCATGTGGTCGGTCCTCTAGCCACATGACCTCTGCCACCAAGTGCGGCTTGGTCCGGACCAGCTTCGTGACTTGGAACCGCTCCTGGCCTTTGCAGATTAGGAAGAAGCGGCCGTCGACGAGGCGCCCGTGCTTCACCACTTCCCCGACGCAGCGCCACCTGGCACCTCGGTGGCGCTGTCGGAGTAAATGACCCTGAATCGGATATCGGTCTGCAGCAGAGTGTGCATCATGATTCGGTACCGAAACTCAAAGATATGAAGCGGAAGGATTGCACCGGGGAAGAGCACTAACTGCAGAGGAAAAGCGGGAGCTCAACTACGTCATCCGATTTGGGACAGCCAATGTGGTGCTTCTCGGAGAAGGACGACGCCGAGCAGCGGAGCGAACTGAGGCTGCGCCGCCGCTGGCGGTGGTAACGGAGGGCGTAGGAAGCAGAGAAAGACTTGTTAAAGTCGAGCGTAGGGGTTAAAGATAACGGTCAACAAACGGTCAAATAGACGGATGACTTAATTGGGTCAAAATTGAAAAATTAAAGACTTAATTGGTTAAAATCAATAGTCAATGACCAATTTGTAAATTTAGCTATAGTCAAGGGATCATTTTGGATATTTACTCATTTTTTTTAAAAATAGAGATAAGCAAAGAGATGTGGGATCAATCAAAGTGGAAGGGAAAGAATGGGTTGATCAAGTGCTCAACTCCCCATCTTTTCAACCCTTGCCCATTGATGTGTTCCCACAACGGATGGGCAAGGTAAAAGAAGCCTAAGGCTCTTTCATTAAATGAGCCTTAGGCTCCTTCATTGCTGTAGTTAAAGTTTGTTTGTTTCTTTTTTTTTTTTTTTTTTAATTAATAGATGATGATATTTTGGAGAAAGATAAAATACAACTCAAAATACTACTAAATACAGCGTTTGGGGTTCCAGTGATTTGAAGTAAAACGCTGTTCAAACTCAGTGACCAAGTAAAAATTTTGACGTTTTAACTTGGTCAAAACATAAAAAATGATCCCTTAAAAATTTGAAAAATCTTCCATTTACCAAACAAGTCTAAGTCTACATAGAAAATGATTTTCTTTTAAATTTATTTTATTATATATGCCACCGATATTAAAATATTGAAAATAAGTATAAAAATGTATATTTCGCCGTTTTTGTATTTATTTTCTCTTAAAAAATTTATTACTTCATATTTATTTTTTGAGATACATGCAAATAATATATATGCCCAAAAATAAACAAATACACAAGGCATACCTCAAATCATTGATTTCCTGTTGGGAAATTTTGGCAAGGACAATATTAGAATGCACCGTTGAAATATTAGGACTAAAATTGAAGAAAATGGACGTGCAATGTTGTCTTCTTTCCCTATAAGACCCAAACAAACCATTGAAGTACACAACAAAAAGTTTTCCCATTTGCTTAAGAGAAGAAGAGGGGCAACCATTCCCATCACAAGTACACATAATAGCCATTACCCGGTGTTTGTTGCAAATTAATTCATGAAAATACTTAGGGTGTGTTTGGTTGGTGGATTTTGTCCATGGGAATGGGTATGAAAGTGATTGTTGTTGTTTGGTTGATAGGTTTTTAGAACACTACTATAGGTTTCGAATACCCCATCAATTGAAAAACCCATACCCAAATACAATAAAGGTTTCATTCCCTTATTCATTCTCAAGCACTACTATTAGTAACCATTCCCATTCCACTCTACTACCAAACATGTTAAATACTTTCACCAAAACCCATTACCATTACCAAGTATTTGATACCCATTCCAATTCCGATTCCTATGTGCGAACCAAACACACCCTTAGTACCAGTCATACCCCGCGACAAAATATCATCCATAATATTGATCAAATTTGGGGTGCTACAAGTCTACAACCACATGTTAACAAATTTGAAAGGATGATTACAATCAATAATATTTTCCAAAAACTTAACAATCGATGGATAATGATCTGAGATGCAATCCATTCCGAGGAACTTAGCAAGCGAGATTCACATTCTATCAAACTTAAGTTCCGTTATTCATGTACCTATAAAATTATTTTTATGTAACCAGATTTATATTGCAAGATGTACTATAGTCCACAATATAAGTTGCTCGTATATATAGATATTTTAATGTTAAGAGAGTACAAAATAATAAACCTACCTAATGAGTTGTTGGTATCCAAGTGTTAGGATTAAACATTAAAATGATAATGAGAGATTACGAAATATAATTGTCTTTTTTGTATTCACGTGAAGTTGGATTACAAATTTGTTAAGTACTTTACTGGCAGAAAATAGTAATGTTAGAATATTAATAGTATTGGGTGGTTTTCTTTTTCGAAGTATGAAACATTCTATTTATACTAACTCATAAATAATTAGTAAGGTTTTAATTTGTCAGTTTAGTCATGACGAATGAGAGCTTAATACTTAACGAGTACATAAGAGCATCTCCATTAATGTATCTTTCATCATTTTTGAAACAGTACAAAGGAGAGGAATTGTTTTTTTTTTTTAAAAAAAAAAAAAAATAGAGGAAGATGTTTTTTTTTTTTTTTTTTTTTTTTTTGGTTTTAACTCCTGCAAAATATAGTTTTTTGCAGGTTTAAAAAAGCCATTAAGTGTGTCTCACTGGCCTCCCAAGCGGACATATGTATTACATGCGCTCGCTTGAAGGCATCCTTTAATTTTTATTTTTTTCATGCAACGACCAAATTTTGTTTTTGTTTGTTTGTTTTTTTTTTATTAAAAAATTGGTAAAAAAAATGTAATCTAAAATTAATAAGGAGAAAGATTTTTGAAATTAAATAAGATAGTGGATGATGCGGTGGATGTTAGTGTTCACAAAAAACTGTAAAAAAAAACTCAACTGATGAGGATGTTCTAAAGCGGACAACTTACAACTTGTATCTATCATTTGTTTCACTTCTTGGGACAAACTATATGATTTGGAGTTGGTTGGAGACGTTGCTACTTAACACTTGCCACTTCTGCGGATTATAGAAGATTTTGAGCTTTGGAGAATATAAGATTTTGGGGACTTGACTTGGAGTGAAATCATAAATTTTGACTATTTAATTTGCTAAGATCGGTTAGGTCCATATCTTACAACATTAACACTACTTTATTGCAAAAAAAAATTATATTAAATGAGTTAACATGTCAATATTTATGAAAACAAATGTAATTATTAGTGAAATTTACTGGTTTACAAGTGGTCAATATATATTAAACTAGTATTTTTTATGCGCGATGGGCAAAAAATAGGTGCCCAATATTAATACATTATATTAAAATTTTAAATTTATGTAGATTTTAGATATTTAAATTATTCTAAATAATAATAATAATAATGTAAATCATTTTTATAAATTTAATATTTATATTTTATGTAATAATTAACATATAACTCAAATATATAATGTGTATATATTATTATTAATGAAGAAGATAGATAAGAAAATATATGGTGGACGCATGTGTATGATAACAATAGTGGAAAAGATAATGGAAGTTATAACGATAGGGGTATGTTTGTCCAAAATATTTTAATGTACAACCTTTATAGCATAACAAAAAAAACTTAACGAAAAAAACGGACATAAATCATGGGTATAACTTTCATTCACACTTATTATGTTCTTAGAAAATAAAATTGTTAAACCAAATTAACATATATAATTTTATGTCTTAATTTTAATAAAAAAAATTGTGCATTACGTTTTCTGGTTTCATTAAATATTTTGATTGTAAGCTGAACTTTTTGGAGGATGAGGAAACTCACAATTATTATTTATTTATTTAGGAGAATATATATGATAAATTATTGTCTTGTGTAATAATATTTAAATTTTTTTATTTTTTATTTAAAATACATAGGTGATCTTAATTGCGTCCAACTAATCATAAACTCACAGTACCTCGTTCCTAAATTACGAGTCGCGCAATCAGTTCACCGATTAGACTCTAGTCTTTTATCGTAAATTATGTCCTGGAAACGTGTTCACCCTGAATGGTGAACACAAGTCCAAACGATGTCGTTTTTACGTAAAAAAAAAAAAATCGCGGATGTGGAGTTAACGGCGCGCGTTTGATCAAATTATGAATTTTCTGTTATGAGATTATGAATGTAATGAAAATTCATAATCTCATAACAGAAAATTCATAATCGCATAAAAGTAAAATATTTATTAAATTATGAATTTTCTGTTATGAGATTATGAATGTAATGTAGATTCATAATCTCATAACAGAAAATTCATAATCTCATAACTGAAAATTCATAATCTTATAACAGAAAATTCATAATCTCATGGTTTCAAAGTGAATGTAGGCATGGTTCCAAAGTGAATGTGCAGGCATGGATTCATAATTTATGAATGTCCGTGATTTGGACGGGAATGTGTAGGCATGGTTCCAAAGTGAATGTGCAGGCATGAATTCATAATTTATGAATGTCCGAAATCATTGCTCACCTCAAATTAGAGTGAAACCGCGAAATGTGAAAATGAAGAAGAAAAGTCACGCAATTAATTAAGAAAAAGGAAAAGAAAAAAAAGATAACGGTGTACTAACACCGTTGGAACCGTGTTGGTGAACACGGTTCCATGGCATAATGATTGGTCTTTCATGTGCACACAAATGATCCAATAAAGTGTGGCATCAAGTCAGACCACAAATCACTCGGTACGCAATAAAAATTTGTCCACTTTAAACATAATTTTAACAGTGCGATGTTGAGATTAGAACATTGATCTGTTATCTTAAATATACTGTATACTGAATCCGTGAGATTTGTGGATTGATGGGTGATGAGGGTAATATAGTTATTTATGAGAAGTTGGTAGTCGGTAATGGGTAACTGAGAGAAGAGTAGAGTTGCGGTAGAAATTAGTGATGTTGAGTCATTAAATGCCTTTAACCCTTTCCACACTTTGGCGGGTACGCATACAAACAGTTTCCGAGAGAGAGAGAGAGAAAGCGCAGTGGAGACTGTAAAGTGAGAAGCAGAGGTGTAGAGAGAGAAACAGGACAGATTATTGTACTACCAGTATTACAAAAGCCAACGCTTCCAAGTAACACACTGCTTACAAAAACCAGGTAGAGAGAGAAAACTAAACCATATTGCCCTGTATATATATGTGTGTGTGTGTATATATATTATATATATATACATATATATCGAGCATTTTTTGTTATCACGATCGAGCATTTTTTGTTATCACTGTAAGCTGGAGATGTATATTTTTGGTACCTAAATCTAATCTCTCTTTTGCATCTTGATTTGGGGTTGGATGTGTGCTGACGACAAAACCTAGAGTGGTATGGAGTTGTACGGACAGAGCAGGGCAAAAGACGGGTTGCAGATTGATCGGCGGGCGGTATGGGCTCCGGTGCGGTCAGTAACGGGGAAGGAAGGTGGGTTCGTTGGTTTTGAATTCGAATTTCGGGTTGTTTCGTGAGTGCTCCTGTGTACATTGTGAGTTTTTAGGGTTCTGTTTGATGTGCCGAGCTCTGTTTTTTCCGTGTTTGGCATTGCAGAATCGATTCGGAGGTTGGGATTGTGGGTCACGGAAGGGTACCCGGAGAGGCTGGGCGTGTCCGACTGCGCCTACTACATGCGGACCGGGTTCTGTGGATTCGGTTCCAAGTGTCGGTTCAATCATCCTCGCGGTTTTGGCTCTGTAACCCCCTTGATCTTGCTTTGCTTTATCTACTCTATCGCTCTGTAGTGTGCTTATGAGGTCTCCAACATTGTCTCAGTGTCTATTTTTGCTTTTTCTGTTAAAAACTGGTCGAGAGTTGTTTTTAACACCAAAATATGGTAATGGTCCGATTGGAACTGGGGTGGAATCCGAAAATATGATTGCTAAGAGAACTCTTTTGTGCTATTTGTTATGCATTTTGGTTATCTTAGTACAGTTTCTTACACCATTTTAACAGCAGAGTTTAAGCTCTTATAAAATTTTGATTTCGGAACTGTTATGATCCACAGGTTGGATTGCCACAAATGAGAATATGGGTATATCCAGAACGACCAGGAGAGCCTACATGTCAGGTACTTCCTCTCATTTTCCGATTGGACTTCGGCATTTGCTTAATTAATTAATGTTTTCTATCCATGCTGATCTTTTTCAATTTCAAATTTTATACCACATTAAGATTGTTTTTTAAAAAATTGTTGATTGGCATAACTTTCTCACGTGCAGTATTATTTAAGAACAGGACTCTGTAAGTTTGGTGCATCCTGCAAGTTCCACCACCCAAGAAATGCTGGTGGATCCTTGAGTAATGCCCCACTTAATATCTATGGGTTTCCGTTAAGACCGGTAAAGGTTCATTTATCTTTTTGTATAAATATGCTGCGTGTGCGTATTGGACTATGGTCTCCATGTCTCTTTTGTTTTTTGTTTTCAATTACATGTCCTTAATTTAATGTTTGAGCTGTTTGATGCCTTTGTCTATCACTACAGGAGGAGAAAGAATGTTCCTATTATTTGAAAACAGGGCATTGCAAATTTGGTGTTACTTGTACTTTCCACCATCCTCAACCGGCTGCTATATCAGGGCAAGCAACTGCACATCCATTTTATTTGACAGTGCAGTCTCTTCCTGGACCTTCCCCAGAACAATACAGTGGAGCATCATCCGGCTTTAGGGTTGCAAGGCATCCATTCTTACCTGATTCATATACACCTAGCACTTATGGTCCCGTGCTTCTTCACTCAGGGGTGGGTCCAGTTCCAAGTTGGAGTCAATCAGTAAGTTATTAGATCTCTTCATGAATCAATCTTTTATGATAGAGACAGTGTTTTTATGATATGAAGGTTTATTTACTTTGGTAAACCGAATCTTTTATTATAGTGACGGTGCTTTTTATGATATGATGGTTTGTTTACTTTGGTGCAGGGACATGTAATCCCTGCGCTATCTTCTACACCTACTTTTGCTGGACCATACTCCCCTTTACACACTACTACTGGTCTTTCTAGCTGTGCACAACGCGAGAAAGGTTTTTTCCCTGAAAGACCAGGGCAACCAGAATGTGAATACTACAAGAAAACTGGGAATTGCAAATTTGGATCTTCTTGTAAGTTTCACCATCCACCAGATTGGGTTCCACCTAACTCAAATTGCTCTTTCAGTCCACTGGGGCTTCCTCTGCGTCCGGTATGTTAAGTTCCTTTTTGTTTAGCCTACTATTGCTTTACTACTGCCATATCCATAAGACTCTATCTGCATGTCCTCTCATCCTGTTTCATAACTTATTCTGGCTTGTATATTGGTGGTGAACTAAGCCATGTTACTATCTCATGTGATGCACGTAAATCTGCTGCTTGGTCAGAAATTTACTATGCCTAAAATTGTTTTTCCGTGCATGGATATCCTCTATATTTTACCTTTGTTGTGGCCACCTTTGTTCAATGCATCAACCTTGATGAGAATAGCTATGTTCATAGACTTCTGTGAGTGTCATGTTCTCTGTCATTCTTTATTCACTTGAATATAGTTAAACAATACTTCTATGGTGAGTCCATGCCCATTTGGCTGGCTAGGAGACGTGTACTTGATGAAGTTGATTGACGTGAATCTTTTCTCCAACCATAATTGCTGTATTCTTAATATATTTCTATTATTGAGATCTTATAGCTATTAAACTTGGTTATTTATTTATTTTTATTTATACCAACAGCAAACTAAACTACCATGATTCGTGAATAAATGAACATACCTGTCTAAAGTCTAAACATAAATGTTTTTCTTATATACAAGTCCTATTGCTAAGTTTGTTCTGCCTGAATGCCACTTTGTTAATTAATGTGCTGAATGGATGTGATTGATTTAACCCATCAATTTGTTTGCCTTAGTTTTCCTTTGTAACTAGGTGTCTCCTTTGGAATTGAAATGTTCTGTTTAGATGTGTTGTTGTGAACGTTTATACATCTATGGTTTGTCTACTGTACTCTGTTTCACTAACTGAAAGGAGTAGTTCTGCAACCAAGCTTGTGATCCTAGATTTTTAGCCATGATTAAACCTTTGAAGATTCATTTTCCATTTACTAGTATGTGGAGTTCTTGGGTGAAGTTCATTGATAAACTCATTAATAAGTAATCATTGCTATATTGCCATATTGGGTCGAATAATTGATAAATCTCTGCTCCCATTATGGTATACTGATTCAACAACATCTTATAGCTCTGCGGTATTCAGTACCCAAATCAATGAGTTATGTAATAGATAGTAAGTTGTGTTGAGTACAAAATAGTACACACACATTGCAGTGACCTCTTTGAATCATCAAATGCTTGTCAACTTTTTGATCTGCATCTGCTAATAGACATGGTAGGATTTAGGTAAGCTACCATATGGATATGGTATTTTCCGAATATTTGACTAAGGATTAAGAGTAGTGGCTTCTTACTTTGTGTATATCATATCAATAATTTCTACGGAATTGAATTGCGATGCAGGGAGTGCAAGCTTGTTGTTTTTATTTGCGCAAGGGATTCTGCAAGTTTGGTGGAAATTGCAAATTTGATCACCCAATGGAGACGGTTCATTATAGTCCATCAGTTTCTTCTTCTTCTCTTACCGATGCTCCTCCCTACATGGTGCAGCCTGGATTTGCTGATACCTCCTTCTCTAGATCTAGATTAGCATTACCATTACCTTCAGTTGGTTTTAAGCTTTCTCACACAGCTCCTTCTCCTACTTCACGTTCCAACATGCGGTCACATTGCTGAAGCTCGCCCAGCTTCATCTCAAAACACTTTAGCACAGTTTACACTTGCAATGCTGCCTGCTATTTAGTATTTAGGCGAGAAGGAAGATAAATATGGTTGAGTTAAAGCTCTTCTGCTTCCTTGCTTCTTCTTCCCCCAAGTTTTATACTCTTTTGTTGACAAAATGTGACAGGATGGATCTGAGGTTGGAAATGTTGTTTTATTGATGACAGACAGACAGATAGACAGAGTCTTACATTACATTACATCACATCATTGTTATGCAATTTATCTTGGTCTACATCTATATTATACACCAATTAGCAACCAATGATGAAGCTTTGTCGGAAACATTGACGGCTAAGGCCTCCGTAAAGGCATTCTAGCGGCCATCTCCGTTGCACTTGCACGGGGATGCCATGATTGAGAAGTTTACTTTAAAGTTTAATAGTTATTGTTTGCCTTTAGAATGCACCTAACAACAATGTTAAGTCACATAACATTATCATAATTGTACCGAATGTAAAAGTTGATTGTAGGTAGGTTTCCACCCTTTAAACTTTAGAGTTTAGTTTTTTTTCTATTTGGTTTAAGAGTTCACTTTTTACTATTTATGAGTTTAAATTTGATTGTTTAGCTTTGGATTTAGTTTTATGAATTTTCAACTGATGTACTATGTAGTTTTACTTACTGGCACTTTATAATGTTGAAAATTTCACTTTATAGTAATGTTAACTACACTTTAAAGTTTGAGTTATTTATAAAAATGCTATCGTAATTATAGAAAAAAAAAACAGTAACATTTTTGTAAATGTTCAAATGTTTCCCTTTTATCTTCCATACTAATTGGGAGGAAATGTTCAAATACTTTCAACTTAAATTACACTGAAAATAATAAAAAATAATGTATCAATTGTACTTATTTGTTTGTTTAATGGTTTAGTCGTAAACATTTTAAGTTTATTGGTTCAATTGCATAAAAGTTATAAGTTCGATAACCTTTTAATATTTTTTTAATAAATTATATGAAGTAAATAATGGATAAAATGCTAGTTTTGACCCTTAAATATAATGATATAGTTTTTTTTTCTTTTCTTTTTCTTTTCAATTATGGGTGTATTGGCATTTCTTCCTATATTATTCTTAAAGTGGCTAAATTTATCCCATCTATAATAAAACCATTAAATATCGATAAAATAGTTTGTCACTTTAAGTTTTGAAGGGCTTCAGATTATTATGTCGATATTTAATAGTTTTATTAAAAATTTGGTAAGATTAGGCACTTTAAGAATATAGTTGAAAAAGTAAATGTGACGTACTTAGACAGTTGTTATACCATGTAGGTATTAGGGTCCACTAAATTGTGTACTCCGTATTCTTAGTATTAAAATTGCGAACATCTAGAATATAATTATGTTTGTAAGTTTTGAGAATTTGTGACTCAAATACAGGCTTATCACAAATTATGAATTTTTTAAAATAAATTATGAACATTTAGTAGGTAAATTGTGCATTTTTACACTCAGGTAGATTCGGATCCACATAATAATTTGCCGTACTCAGAAATGTGAGGCCAAAGTGCAATCTTTAAAAAAAAAAAAAAAACAATACAAACAAATTAAATGGAATTATTAATAAAGGAGTAGATATTATGTAATTAAATTATTGGAAGCAAGCAAACCAAACAGAGTAATTAGGCTTTATAATTAATATTAATATTAATATTAATATTTAATACAAGTTGGCTTATTATACTTCCAAAAAGTAATAACGAAAATAATACATACAACTCCTCCACTGTTGGCTTCTTGGCTCTTCCTCTGACTGACTCCAGTCTCCAGCGTCCAGCCCTTATTCTTTCCGTCGGTTTCCGATCTGTCTGCCATGGCTTCTTGATCAGGTAATTCCGATTCTTTTCCTACCTTTTATTCTATGCCGTTATTCAATTTCATAAATATGATATAACAATTCAAGATTTTGGATCTTTGTTCGGGACATGGAGAACTGGATTGGGTTCACGTCACTTCGATGCTTATTTCTCGACGAAATAGCAATTAAGGATTTTGATTTTTGATCTTGTTGTTAATAGCATCGTCTTCTGTTGCAGAAACTGCGCAATTGAAGTTTATTTTCGGTAGAGGCTGTTGAATCATATGAAGTTTCTTCTGTACAATGCTACCAGTGTTAATTGGAGTGTTCTGTCCGTACACTTTCTTGATATACTTGAACTTTGCAGTGTGAACAAGGTTAGTTAGTGCAGGAAGTGATTATAATTTCTGTTCCTTGTGTGCTTTTTGGAGGCCAGTCATTCAAATTGAGAAATTCTGTGTGTTAAGGTGCATTGTTATGTAGGCCGAGGAATTAATTAATGGATATGAAGATGTTAATGTGTTGGACAGGGTTTGAGAAACACCGAGCTAATTCACTTTAAGTTGCCGTTGTGTTGCAACTTGCAACATTAGCTGAGAATTCGGGCCAGTATGGCTGAGGGAGATGAAGGCATTGAACTCAGGTTCAGGATATTTGATGGGACTGACATATGTCAAGGCATTTATGCCCAGTCTACTACCATTACTTCTCTTAAGCAAAGGCTTCTTGCTGAGTGGCCTCAAGGTTATGGCTATGCTGACCTGGTTTTGTATTATGTGTTCAACCTTTCAGTAACTTAGGATTGTTTTCATTTGATTTCTGAAGCGGAATTTGGGTTTACAGATAAATCTGTCATCCCAAAGTTAGCGAGTGACATAAAACTGATTCATGCTGGAAAAGTATTGGAGAATGGCAGGACACTTGGAGACTCTAGAGTACATATTGGTGACCTTCCCGGAGGGGTTATTACTATGCACGTAGTGGTACAGCCTCAACTTACGAAAAAGAAGTCAGGTGAGTTTACCTACTTTTCTATATGTTGAGCTAGAGGTTTATGTTAATTCTTGCAATACCTCTTCTTTTTAAAGTTACCTACTTTTAATTTTAGTCTTTTGATAGTGATAGATGATGCAATGGTTATTTTGTGGTGATGAACTTGCTGAGTTTTCCTATGTTATGGTGTTTTAAAAGGGGGGAAATGATGCAATGGTTATTTTGTGGTGATGGACTTTCCGAGTTTTCCTATGTTATGGTGTTTTAAAAGGGGGGAAAAATGGTGTTGGAGAGTTTGAGTGGTAAGCTGGTAAAAATAGTTGAATTGAACTGGTCGCCCTCCCCAAACCCAAACCCAAAAAAAGAAAAGAAGAATTTTTTTTTTTTTCCTGAATGGATGTGTGTTTATTACTTATTAGTGCTTGTCAACATGTATCCTAGAGCCACGAGTTAATATGTTCGGGCATGATTCAATCTTGTACCGTGGAGACTGTCACACTTTGGCATCTCCCCTCATTTCTTCGTTCTTTTGTATGTGATGCAGATAAGAGCCAGCGGGAGAAAGAAAAGGGGAATTCATGTTCATGCACTATCTTGTAAATCAATTCACATGGAGTGTATCCATGAGATTGGAAGTGTATTCACATTTTTACATTCCTTTATATTTTTGTTTTTACTGTATTACAAGTTGCAGCTCAGTGAGAGTGAAGACTAGTAATGGAAGAAAAACTTCCCAATAGTGTATGCTTTTAGTGAATTGTAACTTTTTGAGATGGCTGTTTGTTGGAGTGCAAATACAGAAAGAAAGGGAAAAATGTCCGATTGACATATACTGCTTATAATATGTTCTCTCTTTATTTGTATTCAATCACTGCTTATATTCATGTTTTCATTTTCAACTAGGGACAGACAGTTCATTTTGGTTGGGTGGACACCTGTGCATTTTCATTTTTATGAGTATCACAGCATTGATGGTTTTCATCTCAGTATTTAACTCTGAAAGTGTTTTCTGAAAGTAGTGCAGATCTCATCTAGTGGCTGTGAGTAATTATAAGTGAAAGAATTGCTGCTGTTTCTTAGATGTTTCCAATCTTTGACTACTTGAAACTGATTTCAAAAGGATGTTTTTCCAGCCTATATATGCTTCTCCAGGTGGTTAATGGGAGTGAGTTAAACTTTGATCACACTGCTTCAATTCCTTCTCTTGTTGTTTTGATAAAATATATTTAGGGAAAATTGCATTTTTCGTTTTTAAGTTAGAGTAATTGTAGGATTTGTCTTTATTGGTTGGTTGTGTTCACTTTTCGTCTGTAATTTATAACTGACATTGCAAATTTTGTCTTTTTTCTAACAAAACATTAGGAACAAAATTTGTAACGTTAGTTATAGCTTAGGGACGAGAAGTGAGCATGACCTTTTAGAAAAAGGACGCGGTTATAGCTTAGGAATGAGAACTTGAGAAGTGAGCATGACTAACAAGTAGAGATGAGTCTTATCATTACCCAATAATTTAGGGACGAAAAGTGTAATTTTTTTCAAAATTTGCTCGCATTCAATTTCAAAATTTTGTCCACCTAAGTGGATGGAGAAGTGATGTGAAATTTTCCTACCCAATTTCTTTTCAATATATATTTTTTTTAATTCGTTCAAGATTAACAGAAATTTCCTTCCAACCTTGTTAGTTGGACAGAATTTTTCAACCAACTGTATATGTTGAAAAGAAATTTCCAATCAATTGAGTATGGTGAACATTTAAATTCAAAATTGATCACCATCCAATAATTTAGCTGCTTAACTAAAACTAGTTTGACATGAGTATATAGAATAACAACCTCTCTTCCACCATAATTGTGCACAATTGCCCATGACAAGCCATTGGGCAACAATCATATTTCTACAAATTAGCAAGTATTTGTTGGAAATACTGTTGGAGTATGAAATAAGGGATAAACCAACCCTTAAAGGAAAGAATTAAAATTGAAGATTGGGTGGATAGTTTGGTATAATAATGTTTTGGACTATGATGGCTCCTACTTGTTCTACACATGTGTATTCATACCTCAGCACACTGAAAAATGCAAACGTAATTTGGTTGACTTTGTGGAACAAAAACCTCTCTTTCACTAAAACTACAATGGTCGACCTAACGATTGCTGACTAAAAAAAAAAGAGAGTATAAAATGACATGTTAAGTGACTATTTTGTAGTATAATTATTAGTGGGGTCTATTTTCAATTTTGGTTGGTCAAAGTGAATACGGATTCTTCGTAGTGATTGATATATTGTACGCTCAAATCAAAGTAGCACGGATAATGGGTGAATGAAAAATCGATTCTACCTTTGTTCCAATCTCCATTGAGACTCAAACCCACAACCTCCCATATGAGAGTTCAACGTGCCACTAGACCACAAGATCCTTAACTCTATTTAATCCTTAATTACGGAGTTATTATGGAGTTAGTTCTCATGGTCTTTTTTTTTGGATCAAAGGAGACGGGGAAACCCGAGGGGGTGGATACTAGCCTAGCTTAACTCCCTGACTCTACGACTGGTAGTGACCCGGGATTCTCATGGTCTATTATTATTATTATTATTATTATTATTATTATTTTGAAAACTAACAACGAAAAAATTTATTAAATCAATAACTCAATACAAGAAAGAACTGAAGATAACCAACAACTGGGACTAGTTTGAGAACGCATAGCTCTAGCCAAAGCATGGGTCAACTTGTTCGCTGATCTATATACAAACTGAAAATACACCACTTCAAAATGTCATTTTAAGACATGGCACTCACGTAACACACATCCCGCATATGAATAGTCTAGCAAAGTACCATTAAGCAATTTAACAACCATCTGAGTGTCCGAGAAGATAACAATCCTGTGATGTCCCCTATCCTTGAGTCAAGATAGAGCTTCTTTAACAGCCAGCCCTCTGCAAGATGAACATCATGCATGCATCTTGTAGCTCCATTTTTAGCATCATTCATGGTCTATTTAATCATTCATTACAGAGTTAATTCTCATGGTCTATTTAATCCTTCAACTCCTATATAAGTTGTTGCTTGAGTAGTGAAATTCTTCTACTCATTTCTTAGCCAATAGTGGTTCATCCATTGCTTTTGACGTTTTAGTATTTTTTTTTTCTATTTTACCATCTATTATATCAATTACTTTAACGAAATACTCCGTTAACTATTTATTATTGTTAACTTATTCATCGATTTTTATAAAGAAGATTTAGATTCGAACCTCATCCCAATCAAAATTGACATAATATAAATATGTTAAAATGTATTAAGAAAATATAAATATAAAATCTAATATGACTTTGGTCAATTAATTAGAATCACGCATCTTTAAACAAAAAATTAGAATCGTGCATTGAAAATCGATGAAATTGTATATCTAATTACATCAGCATTTTTTTAATTTTTGTTAAAATCTAAATTTATTGACTCTTAGATCTGTGATAGGTTCGTACTCCGTATTATTTAGGGACCGTCATCGTCCTCATCGAGTCATCGTCGTACTTCCGCTGACTGCAAATTAGGGTTTTAGAAACAGAGCCTTTCAATTCGCTTGCAGACTCCGGGTGGTCCGTGTAACATGGTGAAGAAGCGTGCCATTTCAGCGGATGAGCGTGGTGATGTGGAAACGGAGAATCGAACCGGCGGGTCGTATCTGAAGAAGAAGAAGATGATGAAGAAAAATTTGCAGAGGTTAGGAGGGAAAGGCCTCTCCTTAGAAGCATTTGCAAATGCCAAAACTCGGAGCAACGATTACAACCCTTCCCTCATCAGTAAGTCTACTTTGCCATGCTTGCTTTATTTTCATATTTTTAGCATATAAATTAGTTTAATTTTAACTAAAGCTCGCATATGCTCTTCTGTTGTTACTTTAGATTTCAGAGTATAATATAAGGACTTGACAGATATTAGCATGCCATGGAATTAAGTTCTCTGGAGCATCTTGTAAGATAGAGTTGAGCTTGATTTAAAATCTGTTTAAAATTGATGTTATAACTCATTATTCGAATTTGTTGATTTAGGGTTAAGTATACGGAACCTAAGTGAGCAATATTTGAGTTCAATGAGCATTTTGGTTATTTGGTAACATCTCATATTATAATCCCAATGATTGAAACCTAAAATAAACAGCAGGCTGAAAATGATTTCATTGCGTTCCACTGTTTATAAGAGTTATGTAATGGTAAACGCTAGCAAAAGGAATTTTGTAAATTTGTAAGGCATGTATGCTTCTGAGTAGGATGTATTTCTTTTCTTCTTCAACTGCTCTTTTTCTATATTCTAACAATTGAAGATTCAAAACTTTAGAAAAGTATTTACCTTTCATTTACTGTCTTCTTTATCTGGACTTAATATGTTGAACCATTATTGTTAACATCTGCTTCAATTTCGATGTACATTGAAGGAGTGAGAATACATGAGTTTTGTCCTATTACTTCTTTTGCATTCTCTTTTCTAGTTAATGAGTCCAATGTGGTCGCTCAAAATCTGAGATACAAATCAGGCAGGAAAGGAAAGTAATCAAATAATTATTCAAATGTCAGAATTCAAGGAAGCATATAATCAGGATTGACTGATTATGTAATTCATTGTTTATTTTATGGAGCATGTAATTAGGGATTGACTGATTATGAAATCAATAATTGATGCTCCTTCCTTATTTTACATATATAGATTATAAATAGGGACCATCTCTTAGAAGAGAGGGCATTGAGTGGAATTGGAACAATTAGCTCTAAGTAGTTGTGGGTAGGAATTTATTCTTGCTAGAGGGATATTCTTAGAATTCCTTGTTTTCTTTTCTTTGTGTTTTACTTCATAATATTAGAATTTCTTGGTTCAAATCCACCTTGTCTCTTTACTCCTACCAATTGGTCTGATCTGCCATTTGTTCCGAGAATGACACGATTGGAGGCGCAAATTGAAGCTTTGGAGAAGAGCCAGAAGGAACTACAATGCAAGTTAGGGTATTTTGCGCATCAAAATGGATAAGGGATTCACCAGGTTGGAGGAATCCATTGCTAAACTAACCAAGATGGTTAGCTTGTCGCTGCAAAGCAAAGGGCATGGCATATCTGGTATTACCACCAAGGGTTGGGTTCAAGATTGAATCCCCTGTAGAAAAATCCAGCACCACTGAACCACCTCTCTATTTGACTACCATAGATGGCCACCAACTTACTAGTTACTACCACTAGGATTGAAGTCCTTAACGTCAATAGGATTGGTCCGAGTGTCTGTCTTGCTCAAGAAGAACATTCCTTTGCTATCCAACAAACACGTGAAGAATTGAAGGCAACAACAGCCTTTTTTAGTAAGGAAGGACCAACATTCCATGTGCCGCAACAACTAACCCCAACATTGAACTTTAATGTGGAACTCATGGAAAAATTCGGTAGTGTTGTCTCCACCCTCTTGTTGAACAACTGATTGTTCTTCATCAAGTCGAATTTGATAATGAATACCAAGCACAGGTCTATTTCATCCATTCACCATAAGGTTCATGCCAACCTTTTTTGCCAAGCTACTCTGGTTCAATCTAGATTGAGCTCAACATCATAGGGTCAAGGCAGCCCAAGCCAAAAGGTGTGACTTAGAGTTTGCCAAGGGTAATAATGTCTTGCTTAAGCTCCAGCCTCATTGCCACTCAACGGTCCAGCGTTGTATCAACCCGATGCTAGCTGCCGTGGTATAATGGTCCTTTTAGAATTGTGCAAAAATTAAATGCAATCGCTTACAAACTCGTTCTGCCACCCACAACTAGAGTACACCATGTTTTTCATGGGTCACAACTTCAGCATGTTACAAGACACCTTGTTTTCTTTTCTTCGAGT